TTCCATTGTTCATATATGCTGGAGGCCACATTTCTTGTTTTAACTGGATTTCATTATGTTTAATCTTTTGTTTATGTTGATTGTATGAACATATGAAAAAATGATCAAGGCATTTTGTTCGATTATTGAGCACAACTACCTAATCAAATAGTCAATTCACCTTGTGAATGTGTGAACTTTTGTTAACCTCTTTTGAGCCTTTTTGTCAATATCCATGTTGTTTTTGAACTTGATGCTTGTGTATGAGTATTAGCTCACCTTTTTGAATGGATGTTAATTATTTGTTTTCTTAAACCCTCAACCATGTGTTGTTGTTTTAATTTTTACCTTGCCTTAGAAAGTAAGGAGTATTCACACATTGATGTTGGTTGAATCCAAGTTAGGGAGAGCAATGTTTGCTCACTTATGTTGTTGGTTGCTACGCGGTTGTGAAAAAGAAAAGAAAAAAAAAAGAAAAAAGGGAAAAAGAAAGAAAAGAAAAAGAAAAAAAAAGAGAAAATTTTTGAAAAAGAAAAACAAAAAGAGTATCAAATAATTGTGCTAATAAGTAAGGTGTGTTTGGTATAACACTTGGGATGAAATAAGAAATTTGATTGAAATTTTGTGTTTGAACTTTTGTGAGTTTATCACTCCCTTAGATTTAGGCAAGTTTTTGTTTTGATTAGCTTTAGGAATTACCCCTTGTTTGTTAACCAAGCCACATTACAACCTTGAAAAACCCTTGTGATTCTTGCCTTTGTATGTTCAATGTGAATTTTTAGATGAATGCATAATTTAGTCTTTTGTTTGCAAGATTGTTAGATGAGTGTCAAATTCTCACTTTTGTGTGTTTTTCATCCCTCGATGAATTTTTGCTAGGTGTGATTCACGATTCAACTTGTGTTGTATTAGATTGTTTGGTATGATTTTTGTACTTAGGATTTGTTTCATTTTCATATTATCATTGTAGGATGGTGGTAGGTGTTTACTTTGCTTGTACGTTTTTTATTTGAACCATACATTTATTTTCCGTTTTAAAAAACCTGTTGATTTGTGATTCTTGGATTATCGTCTTTTGTTTCTTAAATTGTTTGACTTTGTTTGAGGATAAACAATGTTTTAAGTTGGGGAGAGTTTGATAAGTGTCAAAATGTCGTGTTTTGATTAGTAGTTTTGCGGCACTTATCGATTCATTTGTATTGAATTCTTTTAATATAACTCCACTTTGTTTGTAAAAGTGTATATTTAGTGTATACTAGTATTTTCGTGTAAATATCATTGAGTTTAATTATTTTTATCTCATTTTTGTAGGTATTCAAGCATTTATATTTATTGATTGTTAGATAGAGCATTGAATAAGCTTTCTAACGCTTCCTGTCGGGCCTCAAACGGAGTTATGGTTCGAAAGTTATGAAGAAAACAAGATGATGATTTTTTTTTTGTTACTGTCAACTCTCGCCCCGAGCTCTCTGGGCGAGCCAGACGTGTGCCATAAGTTCCAGAAGCAGTAAAAAATGCCTCCTTTGCTCGGCAGGTGAACCTTTACTTCACCAGGCGAATTAGTTTGGGCAGAAACACATTTAAAGGGGGTAAAAACACATTTTTTTTAGGTTATGTTTTGAGGTATTTGTTCCCAATTCATCAAACCTTCATTTTTTTTTATAGTTTAGAGCTTAGAAAAACACCAATGAAGGTTGCAACTCAACGATTGAGGATGGATGATTCCTGGATCGTGATTGATACCGCGATAGATTTTGATTCCTCTTCTCTTTGTAGTTTCCATTTGTTGTGAGTTTGTATGTAAGTTTACCTTGATTGTATGTATATTTATTGCTCATGCTGTTGTATAAAACTCATTTTACAAATTAATGTTGATGATTGCTTTCTTTATTTGAGTTTGAGTTGTTGCAAACATGGACAGGTTGAATCCAGATTTAGGATAAACATCTATTAGGTTCTAGATTCTAGATATAGATTTAGGCTTAATATTCACTTGGGTATCAGAACTTAATGCATCTTTTTCTGTTCATAAGTTTTATTTCCCGCATTTAATTTAAACTTATTTTAAAATCAAACTCAATAGCAGTTAAATTGTTGAACAACAGTTCAATAACACTAATCTCTGTGGACACGATAATTTCTCAGATAAATACTTTCAAAAAATTTTGTTGCTTGCCGCTTTACCGCACCAATAGACGTGTATTGGTAGGATGCATAGTTTGTCCATGTTTCTTTCTAATTGGCATCAACTACCATCTTTTAAGTCTGATTCTTCCATGCACCCTCGCTTGAGGGATACTACTGTTTGACCGATGTCTTTATGGTTGGCTTACTTGCTCATGGACGGTGTTTACTCTCTATCACATCTGAATATACATGTTAGGTCGCCTCTGGGTAAGTTCTCACGATTGGCTCTGACGGCGATCGACTGAATTGTTTATCCGCTTACTCACATTGGATAGTGAATTGGATTTTCTCAAGTGTATTATATTAGGACCATTGTAATCTATACACGCGTGCATGACACATGAATTCCAATCTATATCATTCACTTTGGTATAATGAAGTAAATGTCGATCATTTCATGGGGAAAAGGGTAAAAAAGATTCATGTTCACCTAGTGATATTTGATCAACGCGGTCTATATTTGTGCTAGGTCAGAATCATCATCAATTTGAACAACTTCTAAATCTTTATCCAAAATTGATCTAAATTCATTTTCACGTATGTCAAGACCAAACATTTAGACTTTCCCCCGGTCATCGTCGAAGAGGTGAGAAGGCTTTTAAGCGTGACTTTTTTGATACCCCTTATCTCTTTCAGGTCGGCGTTGATCACAACTAGCTTCCCATATCGTCTGACCAGAGACGGTGACAATTATAACCAACGACAACTCCTGATTCGCGACTACATTTATGAAATAATTATTAGACCCTCGTATTGGACCTTTAATTGACTCAATACACTTTTCTAATTTATTATATTTTCACTTGTTTAAAGAATAAATAAGTGTTTTAAGAGTAATCAAGTTAATACAAAAATTTGCATGCGCTATTAACAAATTATTATTCATCGTTTTAATAACGAGTATAGATAACTTAAGGATGATTTTGGAAAATATCAAATTAAAAATTATATAATACTAAAAAGTAAATAAAGTTTAATAAAAAATGTGTAAAAAAAAAACTAAATTAAATATTTTCAATCTATTAATCTATTAGTGCAACAAGAAGATTTAAAAGGTGATCTGCAACTTATAAAAGAAAAAGGTGCTTTTAAAAAATTTCATTAAAAAAAATGAAAACAATTAGGTTGTCCCCTTACTTCCAAACCCTTATTCATTAATAAATCAAAAGAGTAAATTCTTTAAAAAAATTAATTGAAATGTCCTTACAGTAAAAAGATTTTATATAATTAATTAATCATAAATATTAAATATTAAAAGAAATTTAGTTATTATTTTAATTATTAATACATATGAATATATTGGTGAATTGACAATATAAATTTTATCGATGTATAACAACTAATCAAAATTTTAAAATTTTATGTCAATAACTTTAATACGAATAAATCTAACTCCACTAACTTAGTTAGCTAGTAGTGGTACAAAATAATAAATATAAGTCCGTGTTCATTGTAATTATTAAATTATTTGATAAAAAAAAGTTAAAATGAATTTTTTAAAAAATAAAATTACTTGATAAAAAAATTAAAATTATTATTTTTTAAATAAAATAATATTAAAATATGACATCACATTATTTAAATAAATTTAAGAATGTTACAATGTTCATCATTTTTTAATTGATTAAAAAATTTTAAAAAAAGTCAGCATTTTTTATTTGATTAAAAGAATAAAAAAAAAAGTCAGCAAGAGAGGTTGACCAGCTTATCTCACAAACCCGTCGTCGTCCCACATGCTGCCACCGTTCTGCAGATCTGGACCTTGATATATTCAACGGACGAAATTGATCCATAGCTATGCACCCTTCCCGCTCTAACCTCACCTAATCCGAATCCCTCTTCCTTCATCAACCATAACGAAAAACCCTAATAAAAAACATGTTTCAGAGTCACTGAACTGAACCCATTCCCGTATTTCATTCTTCCGACGCAGTCCTCGCCGTAGCTGCATCATCAGGTTCAACCTTCGCCGAACCATTTCTTTATCAAATTCAATGTAGTTTCAATCATTGTAGAATTTCGCATCGAGTTACCAAATTTTCACTATATTATGCTTAATTTCATCAATGCTGAATATAATTTCCATTTCTTTTACAAGATTCTTCATCGATGCTGTTAATTATATTCATATAGTTAGTTAGTTGTTGATTTTTCTGTTTAGTTATTAGTTCGTTAAAACTGTTGAGTTAGTTTTTTTTTTCTCCCTTTTTCTTCTATATATACATGCAGCTCTTCACTTTTATATTTAATCACTTTTCTACTACTTTGATGAAGTTTTTTATTTTTAATATCAACTTAGTTTATTAGTTTATTATCTAGTTGATCTTATTTTCACTTTCTTGGATGTGCAGATTGTACCTAGGGAATTAAAGGAGCTTAATCACAACCATTTAGGGTTCAAAAGTATGTTTTTTCCCTCCTTACCAAGGTTTTAAATAACTGTTGCGATCGCGTTTCTCCTTACCAAGGTTTTAAAAAATGGTCACAGTAGCTTTCCGGTTTTGTAATGGCTTTCACGATTTCGGTCGGTATAGATGTTGTAACAGTGATTGTGGTTGTCACCGGTGTGAATTAATCAATTTATTACTTATCATAAAATCGGGCATCGGTAACAGTACCAGTACCTTCCGATGCCGTTTGTAGCGGTCGCGGTATTGGACCGTTTTTAAAACTTGCTTCTTACTCTGTTTTTGCTTAAAAGTTGAGTTAATGATAATTAAAAATGTTACTGACACGGAAATTCAGTAAGCCTTTTTAAAGCATGTTACTTGTTTATTTACGTTGACATTTATCTATTGAAGCTTGAAGCAGAACAATTTTAACCTCCTTCAATCATGAATCAAGATGCTGCTCAAGAAAACAGTAACACCAATTCGATTCCCAAGAAATCGATTCCACCCTACATGAAGGCGATTTCTGGCTCGCTCGGTGGGATTATGGAGGCTGCTTGTCTCCAACCCATTGATGTGATCAAGACCAGACTGCAGCTTGATAGGTCAGGAAATTACAAGGGAATTCTTCATTGTGGTAATACGATTGCCCGATCTGAGGGGGTACGGGCTTTGTGGAAGGGTTTAACACCTTTTGCCACACATTTGACATTGAAGTATACACTTCGAATGGGTTCAAATGCGTTACTTCAGTCCGCGTTTAAGGATTCTGAGACCGGAAAGATCAGTAATCATGGGCGGCTTCTTTCTGGGTTTGGTGCTGGGGTGCTTGAGGCTGTTGTGATCGTTACGCCATTTGAGGTTTGAGATTTTTATTTTATTTTTGTATATTCAATTAGTAATTTGTCAAGAGCATATATCTTATTATTAAATTAAATTTGAATCAAACAATCAAGAATAAATAATACATGAAGAGAAATGCTTACATATGCAAATATGCCTCGAGACTGATTTCATGTAAAATAAATTGGTAGTTGTTTAAGCTGAAATTCTGGTGTGGGTATACTTGCAAAGGGCTATGAAACCATACCATGGGTCCTTAGTGTTGCTTTTATAGTTAGGGTGGTAGTATACCAATAGGATCTGCTTGTCTTTTGTGACTCAATAGTAATCAAAATTATTGCGGGAAGGGAGAGACTCCAGATATGAAAATCTGCATTGTTGATGGCGCATCCATCCTTACAAATTGTGGCCATGGTGGTTGTCTCAAAATCCGCCACCATACTCTGCCATTACGGTGCCATGGCTAATATTTGACAACACTGATGAAAATGATAAAGATTATCCTCAAAATAGGCAAAAAGTGATGACATTCACATCTAATGGGGTTTCAGTTTGCTATGCTAGGCCTTGACAAGGAAACCAGGCCAGGATAGTGGTATTCGACATTTGTTGCATTTCTCAGATATGGTATTAGATGGTGAAATTAAAGAAACAATAATCAAAGAAATCACACTCTACCCTTTTATTTATATCAACTCTGATAATTGAGTGGTATAACAATTCTGAATTATGGTTTGACTGATCAAGGAGTGTAAAATATTTTTGGGATTGTTTCTAGTTTTGGGGCAAAGATTTTTGAGTGAACAGTAGTAATTGGTGTCAAGATTTTAGGATGTAATTTAAAAATTGAACATGATAGGGAAACGGAGATTTAGCAGCTGATGCTCTGTCTAAAGTTGTTGCTGGGAGATACAATTGGTGATGGGCCTCTCAGGGCAACCCTACAGGTTCTCACAATAGATACTAATGCTCATCCAGGTTTTTTCCTTTTCTAAGATGTGTTTATGGTAGAAGGGAAGAGTGGTGATGTCATCTCAATCCTCAAAAGTTACTTCTTAGCTAGCTGAATTTCATTCTTCTCCATCGGGTGGGCAATTGCATTGTATGGGGGTGGCAGTCTCAGTATTAAACCATGGACATACAATAGATCTTTTAATTCAGTTTGCAGTGTATTTATCAATATGCCTCCTCGTATTAACTGTGAAATAATATTTCTTATTATTAATAAAAAATAACTTTGACAGGTCTTGTAAGACATGCTTATTGTAACAAGTTTATCTCATATTAAATTCCCTGTGTTTTTCTGCAGGTGGTGAAGATAAGATTGCAACAGCAGAAAGGGCTAAGCCACGAGCTTTTAAAATATAGAGGTCCTGTGCATTGTGCAGGAATGATCATAAAGGAAGAAGGTTTTCGTGGTCTTTGGGCTGGTGTTACTCCTACCATAATGCGTAACGGGACAAATCAATCTGTCATGTTTACTGCAAAAAATGCATTTGATGTGCTTTTATGGAAGAAAAATGAAGGCGATGGTAAAGTTCTTCTACCCTGGCAGTCAATGATTTCAGGATTCCTTGCAGGTACGGCAGGTCCTATTTGCACCGGTCCTTTTGATGTAGTGAAAACAAGGTTGATGGCTCAGGTTAAAGAGGGAGGTGAAGTAAGGTATACGGGTATGATCCATGCCATCAGAACAATACATGCAGAAGAAGGACTTGTTGCCTTATGGAAAGGTTTGTTACCTCGGCTCATGAGGATCCCACCTGGACAAGCCATTATGTGGGCTGTGGCTGATCAAGTAATTGGTCTGTATGAGAGGAGATATCTTCAAACTTAATCCTTTTAGGGTTATTTTTTCTTTCTTTACATTACTATTGTTTTCTCCATAATAGACAAATTCCATTGCAAGCCTATAAAAATAATCACTTTAGCCTCTAGTCAACCCACACAATGGGTTAAGGCTTGATTGTTGCTGTTGTTGTAGCCTCTGGTCAATATTTGTTTATTTTTTTCTCTTGGATTTTGTTTGTTGATCTAACCATAAAGGGTTATACAAAAATAATGCGAATGAAGTCAACATTTGTTGTTAGCCTCTAGGCTTGATTGTTGTTGTTTGTTTATTGGTCCAAGTCTTCAATACCTTGTATCCTATTGGATGGAAAATTTTGAAGTGTTTAATTGGATTGGTTGTAGGGTGATTTTGTTTCCTTGTAATGTTGCATTTGTATCTCTTTTGGGGACTTTTTGACCACTCTTTGTATGTCTTGTGTTAGAGTGTGTTAAAGAAAGTGGATTTAAAAATAGGAGTTTCAACTGTTTTAGAGGCTCGAAGTGGTGCACTTGCTTATCGAAACATTTAAAAATGGTGGTTTATTTCTTAGAGGGCATTGAGAAAACTTGTGCATGTTGGACAAGTTGACTTATACATATTATAATTTATAAGAAATATACATCTATTTCATATAGGGTGGCATTGAGAAAACCTGTGCATGTTGGACAAGTTGACTTTTAACATTTTATGAGAAACTGTACAAGTTACTCTATCTAGCCTTAATATTATTGGTGTGAGATTTTCACTAGAGTATTAAATATTGTGATATTTTTTTTAGAGCAACACATTTGTGAGAGACATATCATATACTCATCTAAAACTTTAAGGAAATAAGTATATGAATTCTTCAATTTATAAATGTTTAAGTCTTTACATTTCTACTCAATGTGGAACTGTTACTCATACTATTCATACTTGTTATACTCAGCACTCTTCCTGAAGTGTGAGTCTATCTACAATGCTCCCCCTTAAGCATAAGTTTTTTTCATCCGCATACAATTGTACCGTCATTGACACTCTACAATGAGATAAGTCGGTCTTTCACTCGAATCAAAGGCTCAAAGGCTCATGATATCACTGTTGGGAAAGTTTTCACTATGGAGCATTGAATATTGTGAGACTTTCTTTCCTAGAAAAGAACCTTTGTGAGAGACGCATCACATACTCACCCAATATAAAACTATTATTCATACTACTCACATTTACTCAACAAATATAAAAAATTATACAAGTTATTCCATCTGGTCTTATTAGAGTTTGACCTAACACAACCTTACAAAACCAATTGGTAAGTCCTAAGATAAAACCGGTTGGTACGTTGGTTAAAAAGGTGGATTGTCCAAGGTCCGATCGATAGGCTATGATATTATATTAGAGTTTGGTCTAACACAACCTTACAAAACCGGTTGGTAGAGTGAGGGGTATCACTCTATATAAACTATTTCAATGCTCCATCTCCAACCAATGTGAAACTTTAGAATCTCCATAACATGTCTTAATATAAGAAACGATACAAGTTATTCCATCTGCTTTTAATATAAAAAATTGTACAATTCCTCTTGTCTTTAATATAAAAAAACTTACTAAAAAAGTTTACTATATTATAAAAATTTATTTTATAAGGTTCATTGAATGATTAATATGTTCAAATACTTTGTTTAATAAATAAATATAAAAAATAAAGTTTTTATTATATTAAGGATTAGAGAATAGTCATATTTATTTATACTTTTATCTCAAGAAGAATAAATATTTTACATTGGCATGTCAAAAGAATTATATATTATTTTGGTTATAAATATTTTTTTTATTTCTTTATTTTTATTTTAGAATTTGTTTTGATTGTTCATTTTCTTTAAAAGATCAATATAATTCTTTATATCTTCAAACAGTGTCATCTAAATTTTTAAAGTCTAATTTTCATAAACTATATTTACTTTTACATGTTGACATGTGGAATATGATCATAGGTTTGGCATTTGATGTGACATATATTTATCAGTCAAAATTTCAATAGTTTTTTAATGAGCTATAATATTATTAGTTGGTATAAGCTGGTTAGCATTCATTGTGACAGATTGTGCCAATGAATTAGAGTTAATTTGTCAAGGCCTAGAATGATTTAATTCCTAAAATAGAATTTATTTGTCTCTTTGTATAGCTATATAACTATTGTAAATTGTGCAGAATAATATACACAAAAGCATTTTGTTTTACAAGTTTCTGTTATTTCATTATGGCATCAGAGCAGAGTTCTGATTCAGAGAATGAAAGTATGGAGAAGAATGATACCTCCAGCAATACAAAATTGACTTCCACTGTTACAAACACATCACCATATTACCTTGGTCCATCTGATAATCCAAGAACACCGCTCGTAGCTACAACACTCAAAGGCGAGAATCACCACAATTGGGCACGCTCCATGAGGACGACATTACGGGAGAAAAGCAAGTTAGGTTTCATTGATGGATCAATCAAGAAACCTGCAAAAACCAGTCCAGACTTTTACAATTGGGAAAAGGCTGACTCAATGGTCATAATGTTAGATGCCTAATATTGCTTATTTGAGCTATCAGATATGGGCATCTTTCACTTTGTTTTGTCCTAAAAATGTCAAAATCGCCCTTGCTTTTGTTTAAGTTACAATATTTGGTGAAATGAGCTTGGTACCTTTAATGTGTGTGTTAATGTGCAGAAATCAGGCATGAAAGAGTAGAATTGGAAGACACAAGAAAGATGACAAAGGAATCAAGAAAGAAGGCAAGCAAAAGCAAGCTCGCTAGCACGTTGGCTAGGCGAGTGAGATAGCGAGTTGTTCGCTAGGAGAGCTCGTAGCGAGCTTCTAGCGAACACTCCTAGACTTGGACATAATCAAATTGATTAGCTTCGCTTGGGGCGAGGAAGGCAGTGAAGGACTCGCTAGGCGAGCACCTAGCGAGCAAGCCAGCGAACGCTTCTAATAGCAGCATCCCAGACCTCGCTAGCATGTTCGCTAGGCGAGCAGGTAGCGAACGCTCGCTATGACCTCACTAGGCGAGCATGGTAGTGAGCATGGCAGATCAGCATTTATCTATAAGTAGCAGGGGCTACTTTTTGGAAAGATATTATTTATTTTTTCTTGTACTTTCTCTTTCTTACTAGTTTTTGCTCTAGAGGTGATTTTTGTGACCTAGAAACCCAAAAACACATTCTTCTTCATCTCTTAATAAGATCTTCCAAAAAGAAGGTGGATTCTCATCCAAACTCGATTCTTCAACTCGGATGTTGATCAACCGTCTTCCGAAACTTCTTGTGCAAGGTACCATGAAAATGAGTAGCTAAGTTCTTCATTTTGTCAAGGTTAGATGTAGATGATCATAAGCTTTGTATGTAAATGGGATGATCTTCATTTGTAAACACTTTGATGAGGAATATATGGTAAAAACTTTGTTTTATTGTTAACTCTTTATGTTGGTTTATGATTGAAAGATGTTTTCCAACTCTTTACCTAGGTTTTCATCCATCTATGTTCTTGAGCTAGAAATAGTCCTGAATGTGGTTGTTCACTAAAATATCAAACCCTAAAAGTTGTCATTTTGATAGATTGTGTGAGAAATCAACAATGGATCAAAATGGGAAAAATTGTGTTAGAAATAAACACATTGAGAGGATATTGTGAAAGTGTTTATCATCTAACAGAGTTTATGAGTTTTGTTGATCGAACATATACATGCAAAGTGATCGTCGAACCCTAACTTTGACAATCTTTCTCAAACCGTAAAACCTAAACTTTTACCCAATTTATTACTTCTTTTTATGCAAGCTACCGTAACGAAGAATCAAAACCCCTCTTGTTACTATAAGTTAAAAACTTGACAACTGTAGAACGGCGGCAATATCACAGATTCCCTGTGGAGACGATAATAAACCCTGATACTTTACCACCCTATCACTGTTCTAACAAAATGGTGCCGTTGCCGGGGAATTTGAATTGATATTGCGAGCATCGCAATAGTTATTTAATTTTTAACTTGTGAATTTTTGACTTGTGCTTGTTAATTTGTTTGGTTTAGTGTGCAGCTTTCGTTTTATGCGAGGGCAAATTCCTGAGGACCAAATTCTTTTTGATCTCGAGATTGAAAGAACCGCAAGGAGATTGAATAGCAGAACAAGACGGAGGAGGAAACAAGTTAGACAACGACAAGAACAAGGAGAAGGTTCTTCTACAACACCACCACCACCTTTCATACCTATCATGGATCCACTACCACCACCGCCCGTTTCCACACCATGTATCAACAGTCCAAGAAACACTGCTCAGTTTGCCAACTACACGGGAAGGCAAGCCGAGATGAAGACGGGAACTCTTAACTTTCTATACGGAAGTCCATTCACCGGAATGGATCATGAAGACCCCTTTGCTTCTCTCACCAAATTTTACGAGATAGCATTGGCGGAGGGAGTTGATCAAGCTCGAGAGTTACCGTTGTTCAAAAGACTTTTTCCTCATGCTTTGCTCGGCAAAGTCAAAGATTGGTACTTGGATCAAACACCTGCAGTCATGACGGATTAGAACGTGTTGGAAGAGAAGTTCATTGAAAGATTTTTCTCCCGCAACCGGTTCATGGAATCCAAAACGGCTATTTCCGTGTTTTCTCAAGGAGCCAACGAATCATTGAACGAGGCATGGGAAAGATTCAAATTAATGCTTCAAAAGTGCAAAGGTCATGGTTTTGATGAATTGACGCAAATCCACATTTTCAAAAACGGCCTTCAACCAAATCGTAAGACTTTATTGGATGCCACTGCGGGTGGTTCTTTGTTGTCTAAAAGCGTCGATGAAGCTACTGATATCATTAACCGTATGGCTCTAAATGACCTCCAAAGTCAAAGTAGAGGCAACACTTTGAAGAAACCGGGAGTGCTTGAACTTGGGACAAACGATGCTATTCTTGCTCAAAATAAACTCATTTCACAACAAGTTAAACTCTTAACTCAACAAATAAAAGAGTTGAAAGAGCCTC